GCATTCTTGTGTGACCTGCCTTAGATTAGATAGTCCTGCTCTGGCAGGGGGGGTGGACTCGATGATCTCTGGAGGGCCCTTCCAACCCCTAACATTCTGTGATTCTGTGATTCCTCATCTCCTTCGCTAGAATAGTGTTGCAGATACTCCGTGAGAGAGGTTAGAGCTATTTCTATCATGGTCCTAGCAGAAAATCATCTCTTTTGAAACATGAAGTAGTATGTGTCCTGATGCTGAAGAAAATAGTATTCCACAATGGAAAGGAGACTAACTCTACAAATTAATTTCCACAATAATGTCTTGTGAATCTTATTTACCCATTCCTTACAACAAGAATGCTATAGTACGTTTCCTGAACACAAGGCAGTGGGAAAGGGCAAAACTTTTGTAAATAACACATAATTCCAGCCTGTCTTACAACATAATTTGAAATGCTTGATAAATTTAAACTATGCCTGTGAAAAAATCAATAAGCATTCAATAAGCAATCAGAAGCAAATATTTGAAATTTCACATTCAATAAAACTCGCATTTAAAGGCATATCTGCACACATGCTAACAACACAGCATACATGGCTACTCTGACTACATACTTTTCTCAGCTTTGTAAATTTAATACAGAGAATATTCAGGTTTATTTTTGAAGACAAGGGAAAGTGAAAGTTCATGCGTTCTTAACAATAAGAATATGTTGCACCGCAAACACGTATACACACTTTTATAGAACCAAACCCATACCTGAAATATCAAAGCTGGATCAATACATAAAGATGGCTCTTTCTGCAAGCAAGGTAAACCACAAATGTTTATATTTACTTTACATCTTAGCATTTTTAAAGAATTTTTAATTTTTGTTGATAGACTACATATATTTCAGGATGGAAAATATCCAACACATACACGAGCTTTATGGTCTATGTGTAGGCAACTCATTTCTGATTTTCTCTCTCAAGTAATAGCACTAATTTAAGCCGAGAACTGTCTGAACAAGATCATAGAATCACAGAACGTCTTGGGTTGGAAGCAATGTTTAAACATCATCTAGTTCAGCTACCCTATAGTAAGCAGGGACATCTTCAGATAGACCAGGTTGCTCAAAGCCCTGTCCAACCTGATGTGGAACACTTCCAGGGAAGGGGCATCTACAACCTCTTCTGGCAACCTGTTCCAGTGTCTCACAACCTTCATAATCAATAAAATTATTCCTTACGTCAAATCCTTATGCACCCTCTTTCAGTTTAAAACCTTTGCGCCTTGTCCTATCACAAGGCACTACTAGAAAGTCTGTCCCCATTTTTCTTAAAAGCCACCTTCAGGTATTGAAAGGCTGCAATAAGGTCACTGAAGGGCCTTCTCCAGGCTGAACAAGCACAACTCTCTCAGCCTTTACTTGGAGGAGAGATGCTTCAGCCCTCTGATCATTTTTATGGCCATCCTCTTGATCTGCTCCACCAGGTCCATGTCTTTCTTTTATGGGGGACCCCAGATATCTTTGTTAGCAGAGAGGACCTTTTTTTAAAAATGACAATATGTCAGGTAGGTATGTACAGACTCTCTGCTCTGATATTTTCTATGTATTAAACTATACAAAATTAAGCTCCTGAAAGCTTTCATTGATTAGTAATATTTTTAAACATTCTGGTGGCTCTTCTGTGAATACTATGAGCTCCATGATGTAACTTGCTGATTAGGGCAGATATGCCCTTCAAAACTTTTACGCCTTTACTAAATCCAGGATACAGACATCATATATATGCCCTGTCTAGATAATAGATCTTAGAGAAAGCCAGGGTGGAGGGCTAGGGAAACAAAACAATACAGTCTCTTGAAAGAGAGATGTCTTAAAAGAGGCAATGTGATTAAGCAAGTTTAAAAAAAAAAAAAACAGGCATACATGGGAAAAGGAAGCATACTGCCCCTCCTGTCCTCTGACTGCTTTCCAGAAGAAAGAAGGGCTTCTGGAGAAGAAAGTCTGTTGCAGACAAAGGAACAGAGAGGAAAGAATGTAAGGGCAAAGAACAAGAAGAAGACATGGGACATCTGGAAGCAAACGTATCTAATAGGCAAAACCAGAAAGCTAGGAAAGAAAGGACTGCAAAATGCATCCAAAAAGACAACAGATATCTTGAAATAAAGCAACATAAACACAAGGCAAGACATAGGATGTGAATTTTCTATCCTTTTTGTTTGTCTTTTTTTTAGATAAGCATACATAAGATAGACAATGGTCAAGGAGATAACAGTTAGGCAGAAAACACAATTGCTGTAAGAAAAGGTAATTACTTGCCAAGTTTTTACAGAGAGATTACGAGCTTTTCAGGATGGAAAAGGTAGTACAGAAGAAACGTTGTTTAGGAAAAAAAAATAACATCACATATGAGATGACGGGTAGAAGAAATGGGTACACTTCACTGGATGAAAGGGAGAAGTGGCTGGAAAAAGGGACAGAAATCATTCAGTAGTGGCAAGGAACAGAAGGAAACAGCAAGAAAGACTAGATGGGCTGAAGAAGGAGGGGAAGCTGCCTCCTGGCAGAGCCTGCAGAAGCCACAGAAGGGACTCAGACAAAAGGTAATGAGGCACGGGGGTGGAAGGGGTTGCATGTGGTAAAGAGAAATTTATACTGCTTGGAACCTCTGCACAGGGGAGTTTGCCTCAGATTACCATATGACAGGGTAATCCTCTCCCTCCTTCTACCCTCAATAATGTAGGGGAATTATTGCTTCCATGCTTGATCATTCAAAACAAATGTTCCACATTTTTTTCAAAACAAATGCTGTCTGAATTAAGACAATTTAACTTTACTTGAAAACATTCCAAAGCTGGAACTTGTAATGAAAACTGTTGTTTAATCATGTGTATTTCAACATCTTACATTTGTCCCCCTGCCTTTTATTTTTTTTTTTTTTTCCTTCCAATATCAGGGCTCTTTCAGACAGGACAACCCCAAAGGAGTGTGTATTCACAGGAAAGAACGAACTGTGTGCCTCAGAGCCAAAAGGCAGCTCTGAATCAGAATGCTCCAGCAACACAATTACAGCCTCACCCCTGACAAATGAAAGCCCTCCCTACAGAGATCAGACTTTTTAAAAGTGGAAAGTCACACTACACCCAGCTCTCCGGGGAGACAAGCAGAAAAGACTTTCCAGTCTTCAGGGACAGACACGTTCAGAGTGGCTGCAATTAGAGTTGTCACACATATAATTCATATGTAATGTCCTGCCTCCCAACCCTGCCCCTGTTCTTTTCAAAGAGTTTTGGTACAGAATGAGGAATTGAAAAATATTTTGCAACATAACCTTTACACTGTTAATAACCCACACAGAAAACCATAAATTATTCTAACACATTATCTCTGTATCCTGAAAGTTTTAAGTTTATAATTCTGATTATTGATAGAAAGAAACAAGTTTCTCAGCACATACCCTACTTTCTCATATAGTTAGGGTAACAAGTTACTGCAAAAACAAACGTTTCAGGTTCATACATAGACTTCTTAACTAGAATAAACAGAGAAGGTCCAAAGCAAATACACATCAGTAGATGGAACACTGAAATTGATGTACCTTCTTAGTTACTCATATAATCCAAACTAATTATTATTTATTAAAAGGCAGATACTGTATTTATGAAGTCCTGCTGTTTTTCTAACTGTGTATTTGCCACAATGTTCAGCCATACGGAACTCATTTGCTCATAACAGAAGTCACTGGCAAAATGAGGCCTTTAATTTGCACTTCCTTTTAAGACTGAAATGAAAGACCATCATTAATGTATTTCAGGCAGCATTGCCAACTCACAAATTATCTCGAGTCTCACAGTATTTTTCTTAGAGATGCACATTCCAGACTCAGAACTATGTGAAAATATCACTTTTCACTTTTAAAATTATTTTTTTATCTTGTGTTATTGTGGGGAAAAAGCCACAACACCTTAGTAATATTATCGAAAGAGGAAATTATATTCAGGACTGAGATAGGAGTTTCATCACACTTTTTGATAGCACTCTGCTGATTAAATTAAAATTTTCTTAGGGTAGTTGTGAAATGATGGCCAAGTAACCATCAACAGAAGCATTGTTTTTAAAGATCAAGAAGAAAACATTTTACATCAGCCTTGGACACTTTGTGTTTGCTTCTGTTTGTCAGTTTATTGCATCTACTTTGGCTCACCTGAAATTTCCCCTCCATCCCCCAAGTCCTTTTAAAAAGCAATATTAATTTCTCATTATTCATCAATGCTGCACATGACTCTTTTAATCAAGTGTTATTAAGAAAACAGACTGGGAGAAAGAAATACTTATTATCCCTAGCTTCACAACAAAATAATTTCAGACATAAAAGGAAGCATTTAATGATTTCATAGTAACAGTTAAAAATTGAGGTCTTGTGGGTTAACCCTGGTAGTCAGCTGGTGTCACACAGCCCCTCAGCTGGATGTGGAGCAACTCAGAAGAGTCTAAGTGAGAAGCCTCATGGGTCAAGATAAAGCCAGTTTAATATGTAACAAAGCTGCACATACAAGAAAATAAAATTATGGAATTCATTCACTACTTCCCATCAGCAGGCAGCTGCTTAGCTATTTCCAGGAAAGCAGTGCTTTGTCGTGCATAATAGTTACTTGGAAAGAAAAATGCCATAACTCTGAATGTCCTCCTTTCAGTTTCATTGCTGAGCATGACATTCTATGGTATGGAATATCCCTTTGGTCAATTCTGGTCAGCTGCCCCAGCTGCGTTTCTTCTCAGTCTCTTGTCAACCCCCAATCTACTTGCTGGGGTCGGGGAAACAGAGTGAGAAAGTGAGAAAGCTTTGACTCTATGTAAGCACCGTTCAGCAACAGCTAACACGTCAGTGTGTTACCAACACTGTTTTGGTCCCAAATGCAAGACACAGCACCATACAGGCTGCTATGAGGAAAAGTAACTTCATCCCAGCCCTACTCAGTGCACATGCTCATGCTACAAAAGTTATGTATGGGAAAACATGCACAGACCTTACCTTCATTTCAATAACTGTTTGAAGAGCCTTCGTCTTTGCTGGCTCAGGCTGAAGTTGGGTTCTTCTATGTAATTCCTGTGGAGGGACACGATAGAAATAAGCCTGACGACTCATCTTTCCATTATTTTAATCACTCATACACATTTAATACAATAAAATAAAAGTCTGACAATTAGAAGCATGTAACTCTAAATGCTACAGGTGCTTCCTATCTATAACCCCTTCAGCATCACTGCAGTCCCTATCTTATATTACAGTCAACTCTGACGGCACATGCGCTATTTCTGAAACCCCCATCAATAATTAATGTCAACAGTGACAGAGCCAGCAAGTAATCTCTTAGTCCAAATACAATGCTGCTGTTTCTGCCTAATCATCAAAACTTAATTCTGTCGTGTTACAAATTCAAACACTGTTAGGTAATTTTAAATCTTTTACTGTATTTTCTTCTTAGTTTCTCCTCTAATGACTGAAATAAGCAATTTAAAGACATATTTAAACCTGACATTTTAAGGATAATAATTATATAGTGGGTTGACGCACCACTCTCTACAGTAGCAATTACATTTCAGTTTTCACATTTTCATACCATTTTTTATGCATCTTAATCAAAGGTAAAAGAAAAAACCATTGCACTAGTTAAGACATACAGTTCACAGAATTAATATCTTCTGATCTCTAGAAAAAAAAAGAATATGAAGACAACAGCACTTGATCTCTTATAACAGGAGCTGTATCTTGGTATGAGATGGAACAATAAAAGACTCACATATCTACATAGAACAATGTAAAGCTGTAATGAAACATCATCATTTAATAATTTGGTGATGCTTATACCCCTGCCACAAACCATCTGAGTAGTTTATTAGGAAACAAAATTGAAACAGGACAGATATAGTCCTGTTTTTAGATCTCTAGAGTCCTCCTCCTCTAAAATACAGGACTGACACAGTAGCTGTCTTTCTCCCTATTCTTTCTACCTCAGTGTTCCACACAGACCCTTGAACTAACTTTAGAACCATGAAAAACATGTTTATGCCTAGTAGGCTGAGAAGCTAGGTTCATTCACCACAAAGACATTAGCTTACTTCAGAACCTGAGCTATTGTATCTTCCAAATTATCGCTCTCCTAGTTCACCGTCAAAAATTCGAGGAGGAGGGATCGTCAAAAAAACATAACATTGTGGTCCTTATTATCTTTATTCCCATTACTCAAATCCCCTTTTCTTGAGTGAAACAATGTACAACTTGAAAATCAGTTCATAGACTAACAATAAAAAAAAAAAAAAACAATCAAGCATGGATTAAGCACATATTATCCTGTCCCATCCCCTCTCCCCGTCCTGTTCTAGCACATTTCTGTGTCTCACTAAACTTATAACCCACAACCTTAAAAGTCATGTATTTTTGTATCACAACCTATCCATCAGTTTCTTGTTCTGTTTAGCAACAAGCACATTGGTTATCAGTGACTGTAAGAAACAACCACTCTTTAAAGTCTAAGTAGTAGCAGTGATTTAGGGCATGCTGTTAAATTAAAACCTACTGACAATAAATAACTTTATAAAATACATGAAAAAAAAAATTGTGGCTCAACATATTAAAATAAACTGAAAGAGACAAGTTAGTGGTGTGTGCTCCATTTAAATGAACATAGATTCTTAACTTGAAACATAGTATACCATTTTATGTATACAGAAATAGATCAATACTTTCAACCTGTAGGATTACAGTTAAGCAGCCCAGTTACAGTCAAACAGCCGGTAAATTAAGACCATCTATATCATACCAGTTTGATCTCATTTGTCAGACTCCTCCTGTGATCTTAGCCTGCAGATGTCTAGGAGCTTGGGCAGTTTTTCATTGCCTAGTCACATCATAGCTAACAATGATACCTTAGTCAACAACTGAAGCTCTTAGGAACCCTGGCAATATAAAGAAGAAAGAGTTGAACACGCTCTGTACTGCCTCTTCTCTTTGGTCTGCTCTGCTGTTTCCAAGGAAGGGATGCACAAAAACATAATGGTTAGATAACCTGTTAAATTCAGTTCTGATCTGAAATAGCCTATTGGTATCTTGGTAAGCCACAGCACTGCCTGCAAGAGTCAGATTAGGCACAAGTGTTTGAATGAATATTTGAAGTTGTTGGTCTGCATGCTTTTTAATCACATGAAATATGTTGCAGATACATGTATGCATATTTAAACTACATTTAACATATGACAATAGTCAACTTTTAATTTTGCACTAGGCATTTATTAAAAAGTATATCTGAATGGTCCTTCTCCCTTGTTTTTTTTATATACAACCAACTCTCCACTTTATAATAAGAAACCTTTGCAAATCACCAACACAAGGAATCTCTCCATCACCACCAGCTGTTTGTTTCGATGAAACAACTACCTTCACTACACAAATGTTTCAAAAAAACAAAAGTATGTCATAGATTTGCCATACAGGTCTCCTACAAAAGTCATGGAAAAATAGTTAGCCAGTCATACCACTATCTGATCAGCAAAAATTACAGCTAATTCTAAGACCAGACTTTGCTCCCTAAGGCCACATAAACTGAGTTGGAATATAAACAGGATTCCGCACATTACCCAGGGAGACAAACCAGAGTTTCCAGCCCCTTAGCCAAAGATGAATAGACTGCCAGAGATGAGTACTCCTAGATGTCTATCATAGCATGTAGCCTTGCCTCATAATACTTTTCCTGTTTTTTTTATTAATCAATCTGATGCTGGCTGACTTAAAAGCTTTTCGTCTCTCTCCCTGATGGTAAAATGAAGCAGACTTCAGGATTCTGGAGAAGATCAGAAAATGACTCCCACATTTATTATTTTGTGAGGGTTTTTTTCCAATAAGATTCATATGTTTGGAGACTTCCACAAGGCTCAGTTCTTGAATTTATGTTGTTCTGTGTACACATTTTTTTATTTGGGGTACCTGATTCAGGGATATACTTTTTGGGGTACTGATCCAAGGACATTATTACTTTATGTCCATGATACCTTATACTGGTTTACTATCCGAGGTCATCTGGAGGGTTTCAAATTTGCCCGAAAAGTGAAGCAAAAGTTATTCTGAACATTTCATAAAGTTCTTATAGACTAAGGAAACGAGATTTGTATCCATTACATCATTCTTGGCATGCTGCTGCTTTGTCCTTTTAATTTCTTTTAGTAAAAAGCCAAGGGAGCATTATCAAAAAAAAAACAAAAAAACAAAAAAACAAACAAACAAACACAAAAAAAAAAAAACACCAAACCAAAAACTACCCAAAAGCACCCCCCCTCTACAATTTAAAAAAAAAAAAAAAAACAAAAAAAAAAAACACCCAACCAAGAACCTACCACAAAGCACCACCCCTCTACACTTTAAAAAAAAAAAAAAAAAAAAAAAAAAAAAAAATACAATTCAACAACAAAACATTCGGGATAGTTTCTTTTAACCTGAAATCCATTGAGTCAAACTCTTGATACTTAAACCTATGATAAAGTAATTGTACCATCATCTCTTCATCAAGGTTGATATGAATAGTCCCTCAGAGATGTACTTATTTATGAAATTAAACTTTCATAATACCCCTTATATGTCATCTGTATCACTGCAATTGGTAGTTCTGAGCAACTGCTTTGCATATGTAAATTAGTTGTAATTCTGCATAACCAGATGCCCATATTGGATTTCATAATGATGCTTCATGGTCAGGGTGATTAATGCACCCAAACAAAATTGGCAGGTAATAAGATCTTAGTCTTCACATTAAATTTACTCTACTATTATTTGCTTTTAGACCAAAATGAGTCTTAAACCAAAGCTGGCCATTGCCTTTTCCTTCCACACGTTTCTGGGATATTAGATTAGAAACTCGTGTTGGCTTCAGAAAGTAAGTTCGGCACACAATTTTACCACCAGTTTAAACATCAAAAATCATCTCCAAAGAGGACACAGTTTATATATTAAACTTCCTAAAATAATGGTGAAAGATGAGTCCTGTTCTTTTGTTCAGAAATTAATAAAAAGACCTCACAACATTTTATCATTATTGACTGGCATTCAAAATCCATGCTACATAGCATAGTCTGAACCTAATACTAATTAAGACCCAAACAAGCTGCCTTTTTATCCCAGCTTTACTATAAGACACTTCATCTCTTGGCTGCCAGAAAGTCAGGGTGCTGTAAACTCACCTTCCTCTTATTCTGTTTCTGATGTATTTTATTAAGGTTCCTAAGACACCAGTGACTCTGTTGTTCTGATTAGATGGGATTAAGCTGAAACTCTTAAATAAAAGGCCATACCAATGTTGTCAATGCAGCTCAAGGGCTTACTTTCTATTTACATAAAACTGCCTAAAGTAACATGACAGAAAGGGCTAGAAACAAAAGGACTTTTTCACAAAAATAAGTATTTTGAAGATGGTCTCATGAAACTGCCAGTGAGTGCTTCCATTTCAGCTAGTAAGTTACTACTGATTGAAGAACAAAGGAAAATGGAATCATAAACCAGAAGATTTTTTTTTAATTAACATAAAAGTCAAGATTTATAAAACAATAAAGAAGTAATAGGAACAAAGACATCAGAATCAAATAACCATTTGAAGAAGAAAAGATAGATGATTAAAAATGGCAGCAAATATACCTAAGGCAATGTAAAAACAGGCCTGAGAAACCAGTGTCAGTTAATCTAGCTTCTTGTACTTCTAGGTAAAACACACAAATCTGTAAATCACAGCAGGCAATAGTATTGGAGCTGCTAGTTCTCTCAAACACCTCAAAGCAGACTGCTTCCACTCTCCTGGAAAAGAAAGCCTTACTATTGCTTCTATATGATCAGCTTGTCTGAACTTCAAAATTTAAATCAGCAGTATATTAATATTTTGATCGATTACTTAATTTATGTAAAAGCACAACCATTTACCTGGTGTCTAAACAGTAGTGTTTCTTCAGCCAAAAATACCGTCATAAAGACGATGAAATTCTATTTTACTAGAATACAACAAAAATGCAACATATAGGAATTAATTTATTCGTAACATATAAACTTATCTTCTCCTTCACATTCTCTCATCCTTCACATATACCCCACAGCCAAAATGGTCACATGGT